TGTTATTAGAGAAGTAGTTATATACCCTTTGTTGTGCTTTGTTTTTTCAGGTACCATCGTCTCTTTTAGAAACTTTTGTTTGCAAGAATTTTCTGACTATCATTTTGCAAATATGTTTTTAGGGTTCAGTCCGGGAAAAAATTTCATTGATCTAGGTAAAAATAACGTATTGGATTAAGTAATTGAACAAGCCCCATTCTATTATTTTCATTTTGACAGATAAAGCGGAAGTTGGTCTGTTTACTGGTCTGTAATAATATTGTTATCAATCCATATAACTCAAATTATGTTTAATTTCTGCATAGTGTAAACACATAATATAGTATGGCTATACATTGCTTATTGTATTCGAAATTATGATCTTATTATGATCTCAAATAATCTTTTAATTAGTTGGCCACCAACCAGCGTCTGTTTACAATTATCAACGTTTCTGTTTATAGTGTTTTATGTAATGGAGTTCAAACTGATAACATTTCTAAATTAATATGCATATCTAGTAATTAATATGATTAAAAGTTGATTGCTGAATGCGGGTTATTAAAACTGGCATAAGCCTATTATCACTTTAATTTAAATGTATTGTTTGGACAAACTGTCGAAACAATTGTATCTCAACATTGGCTCTATCAGTAGACCTAAACTGTAGACATATATCCACTTCACAAAGCAAGGAAGCCGCTGTGACTCGGTGATAAAGGTTCTAAAAAGCAACAAGTATCACGGGTTCATCCGGCGTGGTTCCCTCTTGCCTGGCAAAGAAATGGAGTTTAACTTCCTACGGCCTACTCGTATGTCGAATTCCAAATTTCAAGGGTTCTTTTACGTGCACGCCAATGTGTACACGGGATCTCAGTTTTCCGTCCCATTAGAACGATCTCTGCCCTCAGTACTGCACCACTGACAAAGGGAAAACACGCCGGATAATCCCAAGAAACTTTCTCGGCTAACAGTGGGAAAGGACCCGAAACAGCAAGGCTAGCGAGCCAGCGCCTGACATTTTTTTCAACTAAAAACTAAGATCTCTGGTCTTTTTAATGTTTCACGTTCTTATTAATTATACATGTAATTTAAATATTTTCCATTATAACATAACATATAAGGGTCTTTGTATAATATAAATTAAAACGAAGCTCATGCTTTCGAAAGTATTTAATTTAATCCACCGAATCTACACCCGTGTGTCTGTTTTACCACTGGTTAATCGCATGTATTGAATTGTCTAGATCAACATGACATTGTGTAAGATCGAGTTTCTGACACTCACCAGTTTATGTTTTGAAAGATATTTTCTGTCAATTTTAATCTACATTTAATCCGATTATAGCACAAAGGTCTATAGGACTACAAATCTAACTTTACTTACTGTGTGTTCTTGTGGGAGAAATGTACACTAGATATATACCCCCACCAGTATATTTATCACAAGAAACCTTGTTTGATTTCTTAACAAAATACGAGACAAGTGTTCAAACATGGGTTTTATGTACCAGCATAATATATAGTTTACATAATGACAAGCTTCATTTCTTGAACTACAGTTTAATTATTAAGTTATTTCAAATCGACCTAATCGAACATTTAACCTTTTGAAGTTTAAAAAATGCAACTTGTAAAATAGTCATTGACAACTTACGAGCACTTTAACAGACGGATTAGGTCGATTTAAAATAACAGATATATATATATATATGAATTGAGGGTGGATACTCGGCCCATCTGTCTTTCAACGTATTTATTTATCAATAGTTTTATATTCCATGGGTGCCAACATTTATATGGATCAATTTACTTACAGTGTAGAAGCATAGGTAATGAAACCCTTCAAATTCAATAAAACCATTCATGAGGAATCTCACTCAGGCAATTGAAGCCGAGAATATAATAATTAGAACTATTTTCCTCCGCAGCTGCACTAATTAGATAAGCCCCTATACAATTTATTTAATATCTAAATGAAAAAACCCCTGGTATTTTCGTTTATGCAGTCAGATGCCTTTCCTCACATTTTTGCACATAAATGGGTAGATCCAAACTATATGTACTACAATACCCAGGAGCCTAATAATTATAAACAAAAGTACACAGGCCTACCGGTACTGAATACAACAACGATATTGTCTATATTAATAATACACATTTCGAGTTGTTGGAAAACATTCTAACAGGGTGTAACATAAAAGCCTGGAACAGAGAAAAATGAAGGAACTGGATAAACAAAATAGATATTTCATAAATTGGGGTAACACAATAGAGGCGTAACAATTGGTAGGGACACTTAATCTTCACTGTTCAAAATGTAACAGTTCCGTTCTCGGAATCGGTACCGCTGCGCTTAAAAATGATAATGGAAACGGTCTTTTACTGTAAGTGAAAGTAAACCGCACCAAACATAACAACCAATCAAAACCACATCTCGTGACTTTAGACCAAACTCGAGGTTGGTCTTACCAAATAGATCTAACCGTAAGTTTAGCACGTCCTAAAAGTAAGATAGAAACAGCAGAAGCCAGATCACATGCTCTAGGGGAAATAACTCTTTTTTAGAACTTGTCACTCTGGATTAAGACTAGTACTTCACTTCACAGTAGATGCGTTCACACTGCATGCGCATTCAATGCGAATTCCAGAGACCGGCCTCCGGAATTCGGATTGGTTTGTCTGGGATTAAAAGCGGTACGTCACATTACAGCTTATTCGGACTGAATTCAAATTAAAACGCGCCACACTGAATGCGCATAACTAGCATAAGTGAAGGTCATTCATATTAAAGATGGATGCGTCCGTCATTCGTATTCGTGATCTTCTGTTGCTAATATTTAATTTGTTGGGGTGAGCAAGGCTACATCAGCGACGCCGGGTCTTGCGTCTTCGGCATCTTGCCATTGAGCGCCGTGCACGATTTCGTCTGCACTAAAATCAAAAGCGAATGAGGATGATTACTCTTCTGGTCGCGTTTTCTATGCATCAACAAGTATGTACATGCACTTCACTCTCGACTCTGTACTAGCGAAGATACATTTCATAGTTCAAATTCTTTCAACACTAAAAATGCACAATGCAAAGCAATGAATTTTGTTGTCATTGTAATCGAACTACATACAATACATACAATAGAGACTAGACGCATGGAACTGGCGTGCACTGCCCTGCCCCTAATGTCTAGGCCTTAAATGAACGTCCGTGATCTAAACACACCATATCTTTGAATTTTTAACTGGTTATATTACCGCGGTATATGTTTTAGTGAGGTAGGTCTACGGCTATATAGGCTATACACCAACTGATTTATGTTTGCAATATTAACTTTTATTTATTTGCAGACTATTGGCCGGGAAAATAACCACGTTTCCCTCCAAGCGATAAAATGGAGGTAGAAGTGAACATGCGCGCAAAGTTATTCGGTTCCGATAAACCCGTTGATCTGAATCAAGCGCGCCACTCTCAAATTTGGACTGCGAATAACCCGATCTGGAATAGTTGTTTCAGATTGAATTCGGAAAAATATACGGATTCGTTATTTCAGACTCAGTTCGCATTTTAGCGAATTGAGTGTGACGCCTAAATCCGGAATAAGACTTTATTCTGAATTCAATCCAGATTAAACCCCCAGTGTAACGCACCTTGTGATATTTTTAAAACCATACGAATTATCTTAATCTTTATAATCATAAATAGCCATTGATCTGTTTGGATATTTTCTTTCTACGGATGGAATATATAAACCGTGACGTCATTTTCGTGGTGATTTCCCTAATTCATGTCCGTTTACAATCAATGATCGGTCTTCCTCATAATCATAAATATTCTCCTAATTCGGGAAAACAATGTTAATTCAGTCACCCTTCTAGTCCGAACAGTTAACAAAAAGAGTGGGGGGGGGCTATAAAGAGACGAGCGGCAAGCGGGTGTCATGAATTGAGGGGGGATACTCGGCCCATCTGTCTTTCAACGTATTTATTTATCAATAGTTTTATATTCCATGGGTGCCAACATTTATACTAAAACATATTTAATATCCATCCATTTATGCTAATAGTTATACATTACACCAACCTTATCGCCCGTTTCATCGACGTCATTCGTTCTAAAATAGATCAACACAATATGTCACTAAAGATATAAATTATATTTATTTTCAAAATGCAAGTACAAAATACTGATTTGTGGAAATAATATTTTAATGAATGATTATATAAAAACCAGCAGTTAATTAAATTAAGTAAAATACTTGAATATCAAATATTGCAAATCTTAGATTATAAAATCTTTCATTCTTAATAACTTATCACAAAATCATTAACTTGATTAAATATGAAAGATAGCACATATGAATAGGTGATTATGCCCAAATGACAAACTGAATCTTACTTAATACTTAACATCGATGTTGTATAAGACTTAACCTAAACGTTATAGACTTAATAATGGTCCTATAATAGAGTTATCTTATATAAGTTATATACATTATAAAACTATAGCCATTAAAGTTGCATCAGCAAAACAGGGCAGTGGTGAAATGAAGTTCACAAATAACAATATTTTTTTACGAAGTTTCTAATCGGTTAACACCGATCCGACATTTATATCAAAATTAATGTGTAAATATCTCAAAGGAGTAATGTGAGAGAAATTAAAGGACAGGCATGACACCATTTGACTGTGGGTGATTTTATCAAATTTTAAGATAACAAGACTAGAGCGTTGGGTGGGGGTCAGGGGCGGATTGGGGCCTTTTACTGACCGCGGAGCCCGGATGGGGGGTCCGGGGGCTCTCCCCCATAAAAAATTTGAAAAATGACCCCCAATATGCGATTTGGTGGCATATCTGATTATAATCTCTGTCAAAAAATATATCTCATAAATCGATTAATTTAGGCCAAAACCCCGACCTGCATGTAATTTACAACCATCAACCTGTGAAATTGTCATATCGTATTAATTAACGTATTATCATTGTATCTCAAGTCCAGCTATCATCAAATTTTGCTGAGGCCTTAAAATTGATTTCTTTTTTTTTTTTTTTTTTTTTTTTTTTGAGTTACGAACCATCGGCAGACAAACAGGGTGCAGGTGACTTAATAATTAGTAAATTTCGGGCGACAGTGTCGGCTAAATCCGATGAAATTTTCGGATGAAATTCGGAACCCCATTGCAGGATTCCGAATTCCGGCCCACACCCAGCACACCCGGCCCAGAATATCTATTATACCAGCCTATTCCAGGCTCCAGTAATGGCGTGGCGGCCCGTTAAAGCCAACGGCCACATACAACATGATCATCATCGCTCCATGGCCGATCCAATATCCCCCCCCCCCTTCCCATATAATGTTCAGCAGAAAAGAGTTTTTTTTAGACGAATTGGACAAAATTATTTTTTTCATTTTTTGTCCGACCGGCCCTTCGGGCGATCGCCCCTGGTGGGGATGTAATGGCAGTAACTGGGTTTGAGCAAAATAAATACAAGAAATTGTGCGTGACACGTCATTTAGCGGTGTTAGTATTCACCTATTGTAGGTCCATAGTGCAGATTCACGGCACGAATATTTCCCAGGTCTTAACCGTGTTCCATGATTTGGACCCATCATAGCGATATTATTGTACGGTAGACAACTATGTTGTTATAATTGGGGATGAAATGGGGTTTAACGTCCTACTTACAGGCTAATTTTTTAACGGCCAATACTTATTTCGAATTTCAATTGTCAATAGTTCTTTTACGTCGACACCAACGTATGCTACGGACATTTGTTTTTCGCACCATCCGAATAACTGGACAATGTTCCTTGCCCGACCTTCCATCTACAGCACTGACAAGGAGAAACCATGTTGGGAAAATCTGAGTTAGGCCAAGACCGGGATCAAACCTCGTACCTGATTAGTGAGCTAGTGCCTTACTCACTGACCCAACGTTGCCCCCGATCAAATATTGTATTTATATTCGTTTCTCATCTACAAAAAGGTAATTGGAAATCCTGTACCATACGCTGTGTGTATTTCAAGTCTGATTTGCATAAATTTAATTACGGGGCTACCAGAATAAACTTTTGCTATCGTTTAAAATTTAAGCAGAGTTAATCAAAAGTTTTCTACTTTTATTTCATTTTTTCTGTTCCCGTGACAGTCAATTGAACTGATATTCTCTCTCACAATGTTTTAAATAACAACCCTTCGTCTTCATAGGAATTAGCAATGAGCTATTTACCCCACTCTACGTCAGTCACTCCCGGCGTCTTTAAATTTTTATTATGGATAAATCACAGCAAAGCTCTGAATGTTAAAATTATATGTGGGTTATGTTTAAAAAGTCCTATCAAATGTTTAGAATATGTGGGTATCTACTTTGTCCTTAAGCTTATGGAATACTTATGTCTTTGGTTTTTATGCGTGGTAGCAATGACTCCCCAAATTGTACGCTTTAAACGCATCTGGATAATCATGGGAAAGTGGTCGTCGCGAGTATCAAGTCACTCATAAAATTGAACAAAGAAATTTTCTAATGGGATTTCATATTTGACTGTCATGTTCAGTACAATATCTTGAGCTGAAAGCTCTGATAAGGTTATTGGACTATTTCTTCTCATTTAACGTATACTCTGTAGTGGAGCCTACAATATGGGACTGCTTCTTTAAGACACAATTTGGGTAGATGCTTCCAATGGACTAAAGCAGAGATGAAAAATAATTCAGATTATTCCCAAAAATGTGGATGAACGAAAGACCCGGGTGACGACAATATACGTTTAGATCAAATCTTAACGTATATACAAAAACTTGACTTTCTTTGGCTTAAGCACAAGAGTCATAACACTTTTCATATTAAGGGAATGCATGGTTATAAACTAATAATTACTCTATTCTACTCAATATGGTTATGGAAATATAAAGTTTATATCTAGCTACATTGAATAATGCTCTGTGGTTGTGGAATTTTAATGAAGATACATTTATCATAATAATTTGTTTGCTGCCTCTTCTCCGGCGTTCTCTAATGTATCGTTGTATTCTTTGGATGATTTTGGCACTAAAGTAAAGTTCGTTCTATTCCTCTTATTTTTGTCATCAGAAATCAGTATTTCTACATTGGGAATTCTGGAAGAAAAAGAGTACAGATTTGTCTTTCATGAAAAGTGTTCTTGATAAACAATATTGAAGCGATAGTTTGAATCTGGAATTTTAGCAACAATCGTGGGGTGAAACTCAAGGCTTATATTAGCCCCGGACACCCAGACCCTAAGTTGTCCACATTTCACGAAATTTTATTGGATAATCAACCACATAAAAAACGAACCCCCGGTTACGTATGGATAATGGAACTTTTTTTAGCAAAAGTCGAAAAAGAGTTGCGCCCCTTCCCGAAATAAATCCCATAATTCATACATTATCATAAACAGACATGAATCGTGATGACGAATTAGGATTAATAAACACCATAAATATGATCTTTGAAGAGAGTAATTTTACAATAAAACATTTTGGAGTGTTGGATATTGAACAGGCACCGCAAATACTATTTAATAGATTTTTCTTAAATGACAATTCTTAAATTAATTTCGTCAGCGTCGATATCTTGTTGTAGGGCATTTACCTCTCTTATTACGCTCTCTGACTGAAAAGGTAGATTTTGTACATTATAACGTAAAAGACCAGATAATCTCGTCAATGGTCTAGTTATTCTCAAATGTTGACAGCCCAACCAGACTAATATTCGTAGAATATTTGTCTAAATGATAGAGACTAGGCTTATACAGATTTATAATCCGTGATTCCACTCCATAGACCACTCGACCACCAACCCGTCTCGTTCCTTGGCCACGAAAAGAGATTTACCAGCAAAGTTTGTTTCAAACGAAAACGCAACAATATAGTTAGCTAAGTTAAGTTGTATCTGGTGTTAGTGGAACCAAAGAAACTCGTACTTAAACTTGTCATGTATCATACTGGAGCTTACAATAATACACTGACTTTATGCAGCGACCTGTAACTACTTATATATAACCGATATCACAAACATATATATGTTTCCAAGAAAGGAGACTCACAAGTTCGAAAACTTTAATACGGGGTATGTGAGAATGATTAATACTGACATACTTGACCGCATTGTCATTTGCAAATTATGTCATAAGTAGATCATTTAAATTATAAGCCAATTAATTATAGGACTGAAGTAACGAGGGAAGCGTGGAACACTCAACAGAAGATATCTACAGAACACCTTTCAGGCTTTATTTGGTTAAATTTGGCATATTTATACCATAAATGAATTACACGTACCTTCCAAATCGCTTTCCATCCTCTATAGATTCTGGTAGATCTGTGTTATGTGTTTCTGGTAAATAGAGTGTTAGAAGTCCAGCACCAACAGATAAAGCTCCGAACACAATCATGGGCAATGCTCTGCCAAAATCCCCACCAACAATCTTACCCTGGAGTAACAGGAGACAAGCATGGTTAACAAAGATTCTTCAATTAAAATTGGATGGAAATGAAATTGACCAAACCGTGAACTAAATGAGAATGTAAACGTAGTCGATTGTGTTAATATATTAAACGGGGAGGTAACTCTACAATGGGTGAATACCACGAGTCTTGTCTGAGCTTTCTTTTTTTTCTTATAAAATGTTTATTCACAAAATTTAAACACCATATCATATATATATACATTAGATGTTTTCATATATGCATTAATATACACAACACCATGAAATGGTTAAAAAGAGGTGAAAAGTGTGTATGAACATTGAAATAGAAATAATCCGAGTTTAATAGAAAGGATGGCTTAATGAACTTAAAAATAAAATCTTTAAAGGGACAATAACACTCTTGCTGGCTTGAAAGCTCCAGAAAATAAATAATATCTCTATCTAAGTACTAGATGTTTAAGTGCCCTACCTGTTGTGTAAATTATTCATTACATCCTATTTTACTTGTCCAGAGGGTTCGAAAATATTTTTAAATCGAAGTTTCATTTGAAAAAGTTTACGTTAGACCTTTCAAACCATTATGTTGAATTTTTCAAAATTTTTTAAATAAGGTGTGTTGAGATAAAATTTGTATCATCAATTAATTGAAATATTCTAAAATAGTACAATTTGTTGACCAGAATAAAGATTGGGACATATTATTCAGTTACAACAAGAGTGGTATTGAGCCTTTAACACTTTTATGTTTTTGCAGTAGATATTTACACAGTCTGTAAGCTAATAACATAAACCAAACGATTTTTTTTTTTAAAAAAGACACCATTAACTGTTGATTGGAGAACGAAAATAGTAGAGTCAATTCTAGGAGTATGTATGGTTAACTATTTAAAACAAAACACAAAACAGGGTATATATAGCTATAAGTACTTCTCTGTTATTAAATAACGACATTTCGTAACACTTGCAGGTAACGTCTTCAGGTTAATGACACATATGCTTGCTTATAAAATTTTTTTAATGGTTTCTTCTTATTATTAATCAGCTTGGCGTAAGCTAAAATATGTATAAATAGGCTGACTTGGTGTACATTGTATAGTATGTCATTAACTATAAAACGAGACAAGCGAGTGTTACGAAACTTCGTTATTAAATAACAGAGAAGTAGTTATATCCATATATACCTTGTGTTGTTTTTTGTTTTAAAAAAGATAAAAAAAAAAAGTGATTCTTAAGTAGGGCCTACTTACCGCATCGACGACATATGGTGATATCATTCCACCTAACCTAGCAAAACTCGAACTAAAACCCATACCAGCTTGTCTAACTACAGTAGGAAAAAGCTCACTAGAAAACACATAAATAATAGCGAATCCCATTGTAGCACCCACCTTTCCCAACATGGCAAATAATACTGTTAACCACTGATTCTCTGAAACAGAAACAGCATTATTATAATTTTATGTACGATAAATGGACAGTAAGTAACGAAAAATACATTCTGAAAAATGGACCCTCCCTCAATGAAATGAGCTGACTGACATATCGTCTAACAATAGTTTATTTATAGCTTGCGGTATCTCCCGACGAATACAAAGTTTTAAGAGGGATTTGAAGCAAATATTTGATAGATTAGATAGTTTGAATATGTTTTTAGTCCAAACATATCATCAAATCACGCAGTTTGTACGCGGGAAAGTATCTTTAAGGAGAGCATGAAATCAATGTATCAATAATAAATGATATCAATAAGAGTATGAAGTTGGTGGAACTATGAAGTTAATCAGAGTATGAACTTAATGAATGGTTTTTAATGAGGGCACGAAATAACTAATGATATTAATGGCGGCATGACCTGAATGGGCCGATCCTGTAACGCAAAAAAGTATTTCGTTCGCCTAGCTATCCGATAATCAGTGTAGGGCGACCTTGAAATAAACTAGTTAGAACACTTTTCCATTCATGTGATTGGCCCCAACGGGCTTGTCTTTATCTTATTATTACAAGATAGCATATACAAAACGGTTATCTTGTAATTACAAAATACTCAGAATATATTTTTTTTTCATTTGATTGACCCTAATGGTCTTCCATAAATGACATATACTGAGCGCCATGGAAAACGCATCACTTTTTTTCCCCAAATATGTATAATATGTATAATATTAAGCAATACTATGAACTATTGTTTCACACAATGCCCCCAAAGGCAAAAAATATCGGAAATATCGGCCCGTGTGCACAAAAAAAAAATTGCACGAGATGCACATGAAAAACCCAATATTCACGTGCAGGATTGTGTGTGAGCCTTTTAAAAGCATGTTTTCAACTTAATGTGCAGTACATGAACTGTGAAACGTTAATCTGGCGCAATTTGTTGTTGGACGTGTGAAGGAATCGAGCTAGAGATGCCGAGACTTACTGAAAATCAACGCAATGAAGCCATGCATGGGAATGTCCAGTGCTGGCATGTCAACAAGTGCTATTGCCAGACACTTCAATTGTCATCAGTCCACTATTGTAAGGTTGGTGGAACGTGTTCGAGTTACTGGATCAACACGTGACCGTCAACGTATGGGGCGCCGTTTGTAAATTAATTATTTAGCTTTTTATATAGCAAAAAACACTAGATTTAATTTAAATTTATATATATAGTTAAATCTCGACTTTTCTGCAAATTTTTCACTTTTAATATTTAAACTAAAAATACAACAAAAACTTTATATTTAACATAATATATATAAATATTTCTTGATTTGTCTCTGTTTTCATATTTAACATTTAGCATTGAATATTAAGACCAAAACAAGAGACTTGATGATATATAAATATTTAGCTAAATATTTAGTTAAATGTTTAAACATTTAGCTAAATATATATTTAGTTAAATGTTAAACATTTATATGTTTAGTTAAACATTTATATGTTTAGTTAAACATTTATATGTTTAGTTAAACATTTATATGTTTAGTTAAACATTTATATATTTAGCTAAATAATATATATTTAGCTAAATAATATATATTTAGCTAAATACTTATATATTTAACTAAATAATTATATATTTAACTAAATAATTATATATTTAGCTAAATAATTATATATTTGGCTAAACATATAGTTAAATTTACAAAGCGCAACCGTACCACGCCGTTTTTAAAATAATTATTGTTGTAAGCGACTTCACACTAAACGATGACGTAGTGTACAACTTTCCATTGACTGCACAACACAGTGCTATCTGGTACCTGAACGCTCAGCTTAGTTCTTACACCCGCAATTCGTTAATAATGCCTACATCGTGGTCAGCTTCCATTTCTAATTGCTAGTAGGCCTATTGTGCCAAGGCTCACATGTCGGGTACACGTCATCATTTTTTGCGCAGTTTTTTGTGTCGCTTACGATAATATTAATATTGGCGGGACCACAAATATATATATTTATATATTTAGTTAACTGTTTATATATTTAACTAAATATATATATTTAGTTAAATGTTTATATATTTAGTTAAATGTTTATATATTTAACTAAATATATATATTTAGCTAAATGTTTATATATTTAGCTAAATGTTTATATATTTAGCTAAATGTTTATATATTTAGCTAAATGTTTATATATTTAGCTAAATGTTTATATATTTAGCTAAATGTTTATATATTTAGCTAAATATTTAACTTTAGATTTTTCAGTGATTTAGTATTTAGCATTTATACCTACGAAAAACAGCACATCTAGCTATATATTTAACTAAGCGATGTGAAATCAAGATATAACATTTAAAGTTTTTCATAGACCAAAAACTCGACTTTTAGCTTCAATATTTTTTGATATTTACATATATGCCATTTTTGTTCTAATATTTATCAAAATATATATATTCGGAGTTACATCTAATGTTTTTTGCTATAAAAAAAATTAAATAATTATTTTACAAACGGCGCCCCATATCAACGTCCTGGTCCACAATGCGTTACAACCCAAGCTCAAGACCGCTTCATCCGGGTCAGTCATCTGCGTGACAGATTCCGCCCAGCGACTCGAACAGGTGCAGCAGTCGTCGGAAGATAAGGACCAGTAAGTGCCAACACCGTAAGACGTCGTCTAAGAGAAGTAGGACTCCGTGCACGACGACCTTATGTTGGAGCTATCCTCAGGGATCATCACCGTCAGCGGCGTTTGATATAGGCCCAAGGGCACCAGACATGGAGAAGAGTAGACTGGCAAAGTGTGCTCTTCAGCGATGAGAGTCGCTTTCATCTTTATCACGCTGATGGCCGTCAACGTGTGTGGAGACGTCTTGGGGAACGTCTTGCAGACTGCTGCGTCTTCGAAACGAATCGATGGAGTGGGGGAAGTGTAATGGTGTGGGGAGGCTTCACATTTCATCACCGGACCGCCCTACACATTTGCAGGGGTCGCGTTAATGCTGTAGCCTACCGTGATGATGTCTTGCAACCAATTGTTGTTCCGATGTTTCGCGCGCACCCACAACTTCAGCACTTCCAACAGGATAATGCACGTCCGCATACCGCCCGTTTTAGTATGGACTACCTGGCTGCTAACAACATCAATGTCTTGGACTGGCCAGCCATGTCTCCGGACATGGCACCGATAGAACATGTCTGGGATGAGATTGGACGCCGTCTGTATCGGAAACCACAGATGCACACCATTGCTTTTTTAGAAGCTGCTCTTGTCCAAGAATGGAACAATTTGCCCCAGGCTTTCTTTCGAACATTGGTAAATTCCATGCGACGTCGCTGCACAGCGTGCGTAAGAGCCCGTGGAGGACACACGCGCTACTGACATCTGTGTCGTACTTTTGACCCCTCCGTTGATTACAGATTAAACATTCATAAGTGTACAAATGTGTTGTTATTGATGTGTTCCCATTTGAAAATTGTTCACAATAAGAAGGAACATAAATAAGATATGTTTACAGGATCATTTTGTTATACGAAAAACTAAGTGATGCGTTTTCCATGGCGCTCGGTATATTTTTCATATTCACATAATAAACGATTGTCTTTCAGAAGACAATTTCCAAGATAAATAATAATAATATGTCCAAATCCACAAACAGTGTTCATAGCCCGTACAAAACTATACACAAAAGAACGTTCGTTTTTTGCATGTCATTAAAAGGGGGTTTGCCACTCACTTTTACAATGGTATTTTGAACTGACCGCGCTGCTTAATATATATACCGTTGTATGCTGCTGGCCAGTTAAGCTACAGTAACTGTTAGGTACAAATCTCAACTGGAATTCTTTTGACCAGGATTTAATTCTAATTGACAGAGCAAGGCTTTTCTCAAACGAATTCGGACTGTGTCTGTGAATAGCTAGTCTGCAGTTTTGCAATCAATATACATGTAATCACAATTAGAGTTCACGGGAAACTGATGTAACCGTATGACTGTGTCTGTCTGTAAATTTATTTCCTTTGATGGGATGGGACAACAAAAACGAGGTCCCGTGTACACGCACACGGCAGACCTCAGCAGATTGCAGTGCCCTACATCTAGCCTCGGCTGAATGATGAATTCCGCCATTGGAACTACTTTTAAGTTTCCGGATTACCAACGGCGTTGCCCATGACGACGCCATTGAAGAATGTCTTATCATACAAAAATTTCAAAGTCTGAAGTTGTTTTTCTTTCAAGTTTATCCGATTTTCTTCAAACAAGGACAACTTTACACTAAAAATTCTACACACGCTTCGAGTGACGCAATTTTGATAACCTCTTTTTAAAAGCGGCAAGTTTTCCAAATAAGTAAACCGGTGCCGCATCGCAATTGTATAGGCGTAGGTACATATCACTTACCGTCATACAGCCGAGGCTAGATGTAGAGTAACGGAATCCGCCGATGTTTGCCGAATAGCATATTGAATGGCGCATGCACGTCCTCATTATCCCTAGAGGTGCAGAAAGTAGTACAGACCCGTATATTGGGTTTAGGGTCAGCTAAAATTACTAATCTGTCGATTCTTGCTAAACTTGATACTGACAAAACTTTTAAAATAACATGCTATAATAATCTTGCAGCTTTGGGTATATCATCCAAAATTTGTCATGTTACTTTCAGAATACAATTCTGTAAAATAGAAATTAAATGGGGTTTAACGTCCTACCGTTTTGCTCCGAGTCATGGGCTAATGAAGACGGGCATGCGCCTTACAGAGTGCTACGAGGGACATTTTGCCTGGACAGCCGCGTTATACGACCTACTCTTATATCAAATTCCACGTACAATGGTATCTTTTACGTGAACGCCAATGTATATACGGGACCATCCGAACGACTTTACGTTGGCTTTTGCCGGGCGGGGGGGGGGGGGTAGAATACTGTACACTACTACTCTCTCTACTTACCATCCCCTGCATATAATATGGTGATTATCGTTATACCACATGCCACTCCACCCACAATCATACTTCCGACATGTAAAACTTTACGGCCAACTCTATCTAATAACAATATACAGACTGTATAGGCGGGAAACTCAACTAATCCGACCAGAAAAAAGTTGAGAAAGAGCGAACCTGCTCCCAAATTATCACTGTTTAAAGACAGGCCAAAATACACCATACTCACAACCATCCTAAAATTAAAAAATAACAATAACAAAGTCAACGAATATGGTTTTATTATTAAAGTGACATTCTAATCCTATATTTAAAAAAAATTCTTTTTAAATTTATAATCAGAAGGCATATCACTTTCTTCCAACATTAAGCATCTTTGGTGGCTGTCAAAAACTCAGTGCTTTGTAGTTCCACATTAAACATATTTGGTTGACGTCAAAACAAAAACCCAGTGCTTTGTAGTTGTAGTATTGTTTTGAATATATAGCTGCATTATTTGCTACCTATTCTCTAAAATACACGTTTCTTTCCCATCCATACACAATACGTTTGTGTTTTTAAGCCCCAATCTTTAATGTTGTTGATATCAAGCTGCAGAATTAGATGTTATTTTTTTTTTTAAATAGATTTCACAGTTCAGTGCAAGTAGAATATCTATTGATCATTTCACCACACCATCATTTCTAAAAGCTCCTTTTAAATCATTAAAGCCCAACATGCAAGTTTAGTACTATACATAATAACAAGTACTTTTTTAGAAAATATTCTTGTCCAACCATTATTCAAATTGATCAATTCTAATTAATTTATGTCTTCATCCCTATTAAACAAATAATAGTAATGATAATTGTGCCATATTTTTCTTACAAGCCCGAACATCCTTCACGAAGGATTTTTTATACTAAGATATTGCAATACCAAACGAGTACAAAAGTAGTATAAGAAGTAAATATACTAAACAGCAAAAGAAACGTCAGTACGATTTTAAAATCAGAGAGGCATTTTAATCAAATCATTCTAGAAAACGACTTACTAAATGGATCAAGCAATTTTTTGTGAACAGTATGTTGGTACATTAGTGATTAATTCATCACAATTCCGAGACATTACGAGAAGGTTTAGAGTCTGTACACGGTCTATACATCAGTATCTAGTGTGTCCACCGCGAGTGTCAATAACAGCAGTGCAGCGCGTGTACTGTCTGTACATGGAGTGGACCAGACGATTGATGAACGCCATTGGCACCTGGAACTACACTCTCAGATAAGCCTGGCGCAATCCATCGGCTGTGTTTGGTCTCGGTACGACGTTATTAAGTCTCCTCTGCATTTCATCCCAAAGATGTTCAGTCGGGTTTAAGTCCGGACTAAGGGCTGGCCAGTGCATAACATTGATACCGTTCTGCTGTAGAAAGTCCCGAGTAACTCTGGCGGTGTTGGCACGGGCGTTGTCACGCTGGAAAACGTTGTTTCGATGACGTGCGAAATGTAGTATGACGTGGGATCTGAGAGCTTGATCGATGTAGCGCACTGCTGTGATGCCGCCTCCTCTCCCTGGACCAAGATTTTGGAACACCACGTGACCCACTCTCTGGTTCAGGCCGATTCCACCCCAAACCATTATGCTTGGACCTCGTTCCATGCCACATTGGACAGAATAAAGCGTTGTTGAAGCCTATAGATGGTCCGAACATTGACCTGGAAGTGATTGGCAACGGCTTGGGCAGTGTGGCCAGCGTCGAGTCTTCCAAGAGCCTGGTTCCTCTGAGCTGTCGAGAGTCGTGGCATGCTGCTGACGTAGTGTGAATGATTCAACCAGGTAAAGGGGTGCATTTTATAGGGCTGGTCCCGGTGAACAGCACGTGCAGCATGAGTTACATGAAAATCATGGAGAAAACATTACCATCTCAGAAGTCAGGTTGCGTTTTTGAGAACCTTTCCTGGGTTCAATTCTGTGTTGGGAAGGAGCCTTATTGCTCAGTTAAAGTTGGAAATATACAATAAAAACATTTGGCAAATTTTATGCAATGCGTCTATTCAGAGTAACATACCAACCTGACGTTTCTTTTGCTGCTTAGTATATATTTCATCGTGAAATAATAAAAACACAAGATCAAAATCCTTACCAATTAAAGAAAATTATAATAGTTCTAACTGCTAGTACTCGATGTGTAAATAATTGAAATATATTGGCCTTTGGTTTTTTGTCTTCTTTTTGATCCTCAGTTTCCATTATAAAGATTTTGTCTTGTAGTTTGACCTTATTAACCTTTGCTGCATGACGTATAATGACTTCCGCCTCATCAGTTCGTCCTTCGTTGATTAGCCATCTTGGAGATTCTGGAATTAACCTAAAAATTCAATTAGCATTTCTTATACATGCAAATGTATTAACAAAAGGTTGAAAGTATTAATTGTGATGTACGTTCGGAAATCATCTATAGATTTACGAGCTCTCATATTATGAGTATGTATTGTGTCCGTTATATATTAAATCGGATTGGCGCGCTGAGTACATAATGCCTGCGGTCTATGTTTTTCATTTGTCCTATTCCGAGCTTATATGTCAGAATGAATATGATACAGGTTGCCTGTGTACCCTCGTGAATTATTGGAAATACACATATAACTTCTGCTAGTCCCAAATGACCTAGTTAAAGTTCAGTAAACGTTCATCACCATTTTTCTTTCACTCTTAATAATGGCTCATGAACTATATACCTTAAGTCATGCCTTCTAAATTTCGTTGTTGAATAATAGTCATAGCTACAACTTCTGACGTGCTATGCACCCGTTTCAAGCAACTTTGAAATGCACGACATTTGAAATGCAAAATTTGTAGGTGGTGTTCAAATGAAGCAACTGTGCCGAATAGTGGTGGGACAAAGGAGACACGTGTGGTCAATTTGAGATACTTTAATTTTGGTAATAATTTTGATTGTCGTTGTACACTGGCGTTTCTTCACTCTTTTTATTTTTCAAAATACCATATAAGGACAGCAATATGCCCGAATCATGTCAAAACCTATAACTTAAATCTTTGCTTACCACCAATATCCAAGGAATAGGACAACAGGAATAGAAGCTGTTATTTCTAGATAATGCCAATCTCGTATAAAATATCCCATACCAGCATATAATACCATACCAATAGCAAAGAAATATTCTATAACTATACCAGTCCATGCTCTCTTTGATGGCCCCACAATCTCAACACCTAAAAGATAGATATATTTTCACCTAAAAATAATATCGTAAGCAAAAAATGTATTTTGATGTCTTTCGCACGATGTCGCCGTTTGCTCTTACGCTTTAGTTTTGATTGACACCTTGAAATTTTTGCAAACAAAATTCTTGGCCGGCATACTATGCAATACAGTACAACCAGGTGCGGTCCCTTTTACGGACGCAACCCGTCCCTTACAGATGTATGGACAAAAATCATCTAGGGGCTGGTAAGAAATCCTTATATTCGGAAAGACAGCAGCTTGAACAATTCAACCAACTCAATGGAATTATACTGGTGCCAGCACGAGTACGATTTCCAAGGTGGCGTGCTGCGATTTAGCCTGGTCGAGAGGTCCCTCCAAAATGTGTTTCCTACTTTCAGAATAAAATTTATTCGATACCAAACCTGGATGAAGCTGATGAATGGAAGCACCACAACAATTAACCGTAACTGAGATGGCGACGCTTATTCTTTAGGGTGGACAATGACGCCTATCGCAGCGGTGTTACTCTGCGGGTTTGAAGAATATACGTTATTTAAATAAATATCATTAGAACTCACCCAGTACAAAACAAGTTGTAAAGACTCCAGCAGTTCCAATACCATTAATAAATCTGATGATAACAAACGTTATAAAATTTTGGGCCCAGGCTAAACCCAGCCCGCCTGCTAATACCAATACTATAGACGCGTACAGGGAAATCTTACGACCAAATCTGAAAAAAAATTTTTTTAGAGATACATTTAGCAATACACTATCAAATAATAACAATGTGACATCTCCATGGTAGCATTCCAGGCATTCCAGTACTTTAGGGTGCATTATCACGATATTATCAATGTCATTTAGGAACCACGTGGTATTATCAAATATTCATTTGTAGAAGTCATTAGCGAAAGCTTCCATGCTTTGGCATCATTTCGGTTATATAAGTAAATGTACTCACTTGTCTGAGAAAGCCCCGGTAGCAAATGCTCCAAAGAAATAACCACCCATGAATATCATCTGAGCATGAGAGGTCTTCAAAGCATCATCACATACCAGGTTCAGCTGAAAGTGAAAGAACAGTACGATTAAACACACTGCATTCAATCTACTTAAGAGAGAATGGGGGCGTAACAACGATTACAAAAAAAGATAAATATGTGTTTCGAATTTAATTCTTGTATTCTTAATTTCTTCAGTTAGCTGAATTGCGCGCAGTTTCATTTTGGGCATGCAATGTCTTGTCAAGGAGTTCTCGGGATCGCTCCCGAAGTTGGCCTAAAACGTTCCTAGGCTTTTTCCAGAGTGGAGGGGGCTGGTAAGGAAAAGCATCTAGTCGTTCGGATGGGACGAAAACCCGAGGTCTCGTGTATACGTTGGCGTGCACGTACGAGAACCAATGATAGTTGGAATTCGAAAAAGAGTAGGCCATAGAGTCGCTTTCCGGGCATAATTTCACACATAGCACACTGCAATACGCGTCTGTCTTTATTAGCTAAATCGGTGCCTTTCTGTCTCATCAACGAAATCCATAAAGCTTTATTTATTAAATGTAGTGTATGACAGTAAAAAGATTACATACGCAAGGTACGCAAGATTATTTGCACATATTCATTCTACTATCTAATACCACCGGGGTGGCGTCCTTAATGCGCTGCTGCGACCGTACGGCGACCAGAAAATACACAACACGAACGTGAACACAACGCGAGAAAATGTCCCAAAAAATTACAAATTGAAGAAAGTCGCCATCTCACAGCTTTCCGGGCAAGATCGCAGTACCTTGGCGATTGCTTTGAACATGCTCAAAACAAACGCCGTGAATCGGCGATCATTGGCGATCATGGAGACCACAGTACAATATCTGGCGTTTCCACCACGCTTTTACCACGCTTATTGCAATCTTGACGCGCTCTGAGACCATTTTCCGTCGCTGTAGTAGTACAGCAAGGACGCCACACCGGTCTGACGGGGATATTAAGTGCACATCTCAGCCCTTGTGTTAACCTGTAACACGATGCCTATAATGCTATGCTATGCGTCGCTGGTTAGATGTGGGAAGGGACTCTAACCAAAACATCCCCACATCCAACGTGTGACGCATACTCTCTTCACTGCTACATTTTATAATAGCCTTGTGATCGTCTAATATTGTCTCTGGTTATTTTTGTAATTCTTTACTCTAGGACTCTACTAACATTGTGTATATATCTTTATCGCAGCCGCTAAAACATTAACTCTGGAAACCTGTTTACGTTAACTATGTTTTATATCTTTATAACATCCATAATACAACGGTTATATGCAGGAAACTACACACACAGCTATGACATTAAATATAAGCTAAATATAAGTTCTCTATCCCCTAGCTTGTGTTTTGCGGCGGCGGTACCCAGCCTCTCGACCGAGGAGGTTGTTGGAACGTCCTTCTGAGATTACGAAATGATGCACTCACCCTAGCCTCTAAGCCGAGGAAGCTGTGGGTATGATGTTCCCCTGGGGACTCCGAATGATGTCTAAAGAAACTTAAACCCCGCACGTTCTTTATAAAGAGATTACGTGCATGAGTCATGTATTGAACCCCGGGAAAATGGTTGGTCAGCTGCACAGAGGCTACCCTAGTTCCTTTAGGAACTGTGTCTGAGCGGACGATGTCCACTGACAGTTCCTATCGGGCCCTATATAGCCGCTATATGAAAATACCACTCTTCCCCTCCTCTGTTCTAAGGCTATTTTGGAATCCTTACCTACTATTTTTCACCTTTATTCTAATTTATTCGCCAAAGGAATCATTTCTTGCCACAGCCGACACACATTTCTAATGATTCAACACTATTTTCAAGTAGAATTCTGCGATTAAAAACATACACAAAATACGTTTGATCTGACGGCCATTACGAGACCCGGACATGCGCAAACCGCATGTTTATTTCATCGCTAAATTCTACTTGAAAATTGTGTTGAATAATTAAAAATTTGTGTCAAATATATTGATAAATGATACCCTTTGGTGGAAAATAAAGAATCACGGTGAAAAATAGAAGGTTTGTGTTCTAAAACAGCCTGAGAACACAGGTGGGGAAGAGCGGTATTTTACCGTATTTTCATATTGCAGCTATATAAGGCTCGACAGGAACTGTCAGTGGACATCGTCCGCTCAGAGACAGTTCCTAAAGGAACTAAGGCTACCCCGGATTTCAACACAGTGTACTTAAATGGATACCCATGAGGGCGGGTGTCCACGTTTCTAAAACACGGGATTACCATATTTGGATTACCAGACTATGATGCCATTGCCTGATTTTAATCTACCAGACATATCCTTGTTAGCCTAGTTCTTGCTGTCACTGGTTCTAGCTAACGACTTCAATACGTTAACCAGAGCATCTTTTAAGAAAAATGAAATATACCCTACCGTATATAGTAAGTATAGTCTTACAAACCCTCTGCTTTCGCCCCTCTTTAAAATGTCTAAAACATTAATTTAACATTGGCATTATTAACGGGCGTACATTAAATTAAAAAAGAAGCACCTACCTCAGACGATGCAGTGTTAAGAAATACTGATTGGTCGTAAACCCATTTAGAACAACTTAGCGTTGACCTGGAATGGTTGCTACTTGTGTAATCATACAGATGACATTGGTCATATAACCACCCCAACCCTTTGCTGGCAAGGGGAATGGTTTCGTTGATGAGTTTTTGGTGATATTCAGACTGGACAGCGTAGGTATCATTTTCATATCCTGGTATGGCACATCTGAAAGGTCAATATTTTGATTGAAATTAAATTGTGACAGACGATTTGATTCTTTTGGGGTGGGGATGGGGGTGGGATGGGAGTGCAGGTAGTATAGTATCAACACTAACACGTATAGGCTGGACTTAAAGTTTTCTTTTAAACTCTTTCTTCATAATTTAATTGCTATTAGGCAGCAATTGTCCGCATTGTTAAAAGACAACTTAAAGCCTGCTTATTTTAAAGTGAAGGCGCACCAACGGCTTCTGAATGGTTTCTCACGTGTGAAATGCATATCGGTCGACGGAATATATTTTTTACTGCCACGAAAACACATCATAATACAACGACGTATCTGTCTTCATGGTACGTTTCCATGAGGAGATATTTATTCTATTATTTACAAACAACAAGCATACCGTTTAAATGTAATTTATGATTATTTATGTTGAAGTTACTTTCAATCTAGAACATAAAACACAAAAAAAACTAGAGGACGCGTGGTGTATTACAAACATGCTTGCAAGATTTTTTTATATAAAACTGTGTTAGTAGGTAAATGAATGATAAGCTCTACAGTTCGATGACATTCTATAAAAGTGGTAGTATTAAAGGGGCATTCCCATATTGTGCAGTGTATTTGTGGGTACCGGTACCAATTAAACACCAAAATCTAAAGAAATAGCCCGATTACCTTGTTTAAACGTTTCTGCTAAAATATGAAAATGGTCGCCCAGATTGCTTAACGACGCATTATGTAAGAACTCAATTTGCCTATTGCAGATCTTATTTTTTGGCTTCAAATGTTATACATATCTTTTTAAACATTTTAAAAGGAAATAAACATCCGCGGGATTTAAAAATTTAACGATGAAATGGACAATCGAGGCCAAGTCTTGGTTGTCAAGTACCGTTGCTACGATAATGAACGATCTACGCTATATCTTCAAACAGTCATAACTTCGCTCAAAATACAGTAACTTGAATGAAATTTCCAATATATTTAGTTTTATCATCTAATTTATAACTAGAACTGTCGGCTCTTTATCTAAATCCTACATAATGCATATTTAATAGACTTACGTTACTCTGTTGGTTATGTGTTATCGGATGACTAATAAAACTACAACCACTTATAAAACTTATCCATTAGTACTGCGGCTGTTATTATGACAACTTGTCGCCGGTTTTGGAGTAGGCTGATCATCTAGACAATACAAATATGATCGCTTCTTTAGTGTTACATCACTTTCTGATGGAAACTGTCCGAATCTCTTCCCGACCACGAAACGACATCTAATAATAATTTTAGTTAAATTGAGCGAGAGGGGTGGGTGATCAAGTGGTCTAATGTGTAAACTTTAATTCAGGCGATCTGGCATTGGGGCAAGTGCTTTGTCTTCGATACCGGGCGTGTACCTAACCGTCGGGGCTCTGTCTATGGAGATAGTTTGCGTCCCACCCCCTCTATAAACAAACTAATTATATGGTTATTATTTCCATATGTCTTTCCCCAAATTACCGTTAAACCCCAATTTCCCATTCTCTCGTAGGTAAAATAAATATGTGCGTATATTTAACATGAATAGCTTAAAGGGTCTAAATCTCTATTAATGTAATATAGGTGTATCAATCTGATTAAAACACAGATCCTATTTCGTTTCGTTTTTTTATAGTTCAACATTTCGTTTTATTTGTCTTTACTACACTAGTATCTGGAAGAAGTGGGGGATGAGCCAATGAAACGGTCTGTTACGGCGAGTTCTTGGCGTGCGATGCATGGAACTGTGGGTAAACCACTAGAAACGTCAACGCTGATTGATTAATCAATTTCTGATGTCATAGGGTCAAACGCCGCTAGTACGATGTGACCTTCCAGTGCAACTGGTCAGATCTTCATGTAGTGTAGGCCATCGAAAGTATAAAATAAAACGAAACGAAATATAGATCTGTATTTTAATCAGATTGACAGGTGTATATAAACTGATTTGCATTCAATTTTTAAAACTTGTATTGTAATGTCTGATCAGTTTTGTTCGTCTTAATGCGTGAGCTGTCCAAATAAAGGGTCCATATTTCACCCACGCATTGACGTTTAGCCTCGTTCACCAAGGCGTCTCATTACAAATCGCGCTCGAAAGCATACAGTACTTGTTTTAAAAATGTTCACTGTCTTCAATATTTTATACCAGGGACCCATATTTTCACGGCAAGATAAAAACATCACTATAGATTGGAGTGGACCAATGTTTGTAATGGATAATATTGAGCTTTACGTCCTTTAACTGGATATATTTTACCTAGATTCCACCTATCAATAATTTTACTTAACCTAAGGAAATGTAATGTTTTGATTTTGCATGTTCAGGGAGCAAACAATAACCTTCTCATTTACATGCATCTGGTTATGCCCAGTGTCCCAGGCGACAAAATTAACTGACCTATATTACTAGTATTTAAATGGTCATCTATGTTTTACTTGAGATTTATATGGCGCAATACGTCATACAAATATTGGGTACAACGTATTATTTAACTTATATTAAAATAACTCGTAATTAACCAACAGAGCCCCCAGATTAATATCTTATAAAAGAGTACAGTGAAACTGTTGAACCTACCTATGTGAAGGAATATACATAATAAAAACAGATATAACCATACGTATTCCATGAGTTATGCCAGGTAAAAATAGTAAAGAACAAATCTTTTTCTGATATATTCCAAACTCTCCTATAAATTTCAATATCTGATCGTAACGCATGTTGATGATAAAGGAAGGCAATGCTTAGTTACAAATAAAAGACAGACGATTTCGTAAGGTGTTTAGGTAATCACAAGCATGAGAATTTTAACACTGATAAAAACACTGATAAACAGCTGTTGTATATACACAGAGGAAAGAGTGGTCGCCATGCAAGATACGCCTCTGGGTGCAGCTTATACATATTTTAGGTTTTAGTTATACGAGTCTCCAGTGCCACGGTGGCTCAGTGAATAGGATGCTGCCACACTAACCTGGAATTCCTGAGTTTGAATCCTGGTGTTGGCCGAGAAAAGTACTACGGGTCTTTAGCAGAGGGGGGAAACTGGAGGATCCGGAGAAAACCCACAGGTTGAATAGACGACCTTACTCCTTTGTCACATACAAGCGGGGAATTGAAACCACGCCACTTGATTCAATGACAGATCTAACAGGCAAGCGTTACACCACTAGAATACCCGACCCCCACGAAAAAAACTATAGATCCCGTGTACACGTTGGCATACACGCAAAATTCCACTCATAGTACACTGCATGGCGTATTCCCGTCTTCATTAGTCCGGTTGTAGCAAGAAGTAGGATGTTAAACCTCATTTAACTCTTCTATTGTGATATCGTCTTACTTTTAAATATCGGCCTACTACTAAACACATGTTGTATATAACTGACCGAGAATATTTCATTTCCAAGAATTGTGTTTTAAAGAATATATTTCATAAACGATCATGTTTACACAATATAGCCAATATATTAAAACAGACATTGTTCTATACATATTCCAGATATTCAACCAAATTCATGATTTTGTGATAAAATCGATTTAAAGTTACTATGAGGGAAATTTTGTCCGGTCAGCTGCATTACGGCCTACTCTTATATCGAATTCCAACTGCGCAGGGATCTTTTACGTGCACTCCAATGTATACACGAGACCTCGGTTTTTCGTCCCATCCGAACGACTAGACAGCTGTCCTTGTCAGGAAATATGTTATTCACGACAAAACGACAAATGTTTTATTTATTTTATGATTTTACAATCATTTTAGGTAAAAACAACTAGCCAGTGGAATAACACTTTTATTTCACTGATAAAACGCGGTATTCCACTACTGATCATAAAATAAATATATATAATAACGTTTTGATCAAATTTTTATTTTTTATATCAATCATGTTCAGATGTCAGTGCGATTTAGGTTAAGATTAATAATATACTAAGAGTAGAAACGCTACCTATTTTTTTTTATTATGACATATAGTCTGATAATGAGCCATGGTTTTATGGTTATACATCTATTCCCCTTATCTTTTAGTTTAAAGTTTTAAAGAGACGATACCTTGGATTTTGATACTAAGTGCAATTTAAGGTAATTTTAAATGATGTTTTCAATATTACATGCCTCTTTAAAGAAAAAGAAAATTTAACGTTCACTGTATTGTTTACACACGCTATAACTAACATATTCTTATCTGATGGGTGTTGAGTGGTTTAATTTCGATACGAGGCATTTACTTGAGAATGAGTAAGGACGTCTTTCTCATCGTGTGGTTTCTCTCCGTAATCAATGTTTCCACAGAGAGGTGACACCATAGCGTTATGTGCCAATCGTTCGTGTGGTCAACTTCATTTTAATCATTCTCATTGTTGGTGGTGCAGGAAGAGGGCTTGGGAAGGAAGAGCATCTAGCCGTTCCTGTAATGTGGAAAAACGAGCTCCAATGTACACCTTGGCGTACACGTAAAAGAGCCCTGGGCAATCGGAATTCAACTCCTGTTCGGGCAAAATTGTTCTCACTCAAGCCACAATCCATGGTACATGCCCGTCTTCATTGTCTCGGTGGCAGCCGTGGTAGTTCAGTGAGTAAGACGTTGCCTCCCTAACCTGTAGATCCCGTGTTCGATCCCGGTGTTGGCTGAGAAAGTTCATTGGGATTTTTTCGGCGTGGTTCCCCCGTGTCAGTGTTGCAGGCCAGAAGGACAATGTATAGTCGTTTGGATGGGGCGAAAAACCGAGGTCCCGTGTACCCATTGGCGTACACGTAAAAGAACCATTGACAGTTGGAATTCGATATAAGAGTAGACAGCAGTTCCGATGTCCGGGCAAAATTTCCCTTATAGCACACTGTAAGGCATATGCCCTACTGCATTAGCCCAATCGGAGCAGAGCAGTATGACGTTAAATCCCATTAAATTACCATTACCATTTGCCCGGTTGGTGCAGAAAAGTAGGACGTTAAGCTCTATTCCATTCATTCATTTAAATCATATAAGGTATGATGGGGTAAATAAGTAATAATAGACAGCGACAATAATCGAAATAAGCCAATTTTTGTTTGTTTTTTTAAAAAAAGACAACAACACTTACCTGTGTTTTGGAACAAATTGCAGGAAAACTGTTACACACATCCGTATTCCATGAGTTATTGCTGGTAAACATAATAAAAAGAATACTCTCTTCTGGTATGTGCCAAACTCTCCAAGATGCCGCAATATCTCGTCGAAATGCATTGCAATAGATTCACTAGTTCACACACAGACAAAATTAGTTTTTGAATTGTTACTAAGTGACGATCTCTCTGTAAAATAAAGTTTCGCGTTCTGGTGAAGATATTATTCTATGGCACATTGACAATTACCTCCACAAAGTACCCGTTTGGTTATGCATTCAGGTCATAAATAAATGCTACATTGGTATTGCCTCACTATTATTATCAACAAGTATTCAAGATTTATATACTCCCATCGAGCGTGATAAACAAAGTAATATGCTCATTAAAGATTTTTGGAGTTGTCATTTCTGAACCTTGCTCGATTTCCCTAATTCGCGTAAAAATAGCAACGAAACATCGTACACAAAAATATGAAAACATTAAGTAAGACGTAAATAGAAACCATGCATGTGTAGTTAATGCGACTCAGATTGTATACTATGGAACCATAAAGTGACCTTACTTAGTTTGTTACTTTCTCTGTCTGTATACGCATTAACCTAGTAATTTGGCAATCGGGATTATTATAATAATAAGATGATTGAAGCAACTATATTGTCAGAAGTGGCAGTGTCAGCAATGACACGTATAACAAGGCGCTAATCACAGAGAATAGTAATTGACTAGGTCTGAATTTAAAAGAGTGGTAGTTGAAATTACATTACCGCGGGAAACTACAGAATTTTTGCAGTAATCGATCTGTTAAATAACTTTGTAAACGCACCATATTTCGATCACGGAAACTACCATCAAGAATAGCAATTTTATAAATGCAATGAAATAAAATGGGCTTAAACGTCGTATAGTTTTGTATCAACAGGCTAATGAAGACGGGCAAGTACCATACAGTGTAACACGGGGTAAATTTTGTCCGGATAACAACTGAATTCCAAATGTCAAGGGTTCTTTTACGTGCACACCAATGTGTACACGGGATCTCTGGTTTTGTCTCATCCAAACTACCAGAAGTTTTATAAAGATAGGCTGGTTAATATTATCCACATAATATTATATCTTTATTAGCCTAGTTATATTAGACATGAAGGACGTTAAAACCATTTCATTCTTACACGAAAAACAATAACGAAAAAAAAAATAAAAATAAATATAATACACTCACATTACTGTACTGACGACATGACTGCAGCACACAATATGGTAAGATAATGCAAAATACTGCCGTGCTCAAAGTATGTTTTCACAAAGGGGAAATTTCCCCAACTTGTAGATCGAGCTAATCCCAATAGATAACAGGAAAAGCAATTATCTTAAAGTCAAAGTGTAAAGAAATTATCGAACAATTTTACCTTCCATCAAATGATCAATTTGAGAATTCATTTTCACAACCCAAATTCATATAATAACATGAATATGCCATAGAACGTATCATTTTACGAGTGAACGACCTACGATGGATACAGTTAGACTTCTTGACGACTATACCTGTTCAACATATAGTTCACAGAGGTTAGGGTAGACTATATCATGCCATGAACACATGAATATTGCACAGAGTGAAAGAAGCGTATTATTTTAAATAGATGCACATAATATCACATTAGAGTCATGACCCCCTGAACTCTGTATCTAAAATGCATCACTGATTAAACACGTGTGAATTTCTAGTGCGTATTAACTGGAATTCTGTCACTGCCCGTTCTAGTTAAGAGCGAAAGTGGTCCATATGCTCTCATGTATATTTGTGACTATACTATATACTCTATATACCCGGGTCACATTTCATGACTTACTGATCAATATTTATATACAGTAAACATCTTACTTTTACCTATAGTATTATACCTACTTCATGTCTAACGAGAAAGCAATTATTTGATTGATGGGGTCAAGTTAAGTTCAGTTGCAGAATCAGAACAATTCCTTCATATCCTTTAATTCTATAATTTACCGCGTTGTGTCATGGATTAAGTTTATTTGCAAACTATATTTGCCTCTTTTAAGAATTGATTAATTGGTTATGAAATATTTAGGTGAGAGAGTGTAAGCTCGGACACCCCTTCTGCAGCCTGTATGAGAAAAGATGCACGAATGGTGGTGCCACCTATTAAATAATTTAATAAATGATTGTTATTGGTACAAGGGAGGAGTCAATTTCCCCAAGAACAAATGTCCTACGCACAAAAATCCAAATTTCGATACCAAAAGTGGATTTCCTGAAAATAGGCAAATGATAACCACTATAGATGGTTGCAATTCTAGCCTATTGGTTTGGTTTAGTTTTGGTGTGTGAAGATGCTGAGGATTAATTAATTGTAAAGGCTACCTCGGGGCAAGTTGTGCAATTTTTAAAGGGTCAAGTTAAGCTGATTGCCATCCATATCTCAGCCATCCGATGGCCTAGAGTTTATTTTTGGCTTGTCATGTGAATAAATGTCTAGAAAAAAGACTCACAATAGAAAGAGTTAAATATTGTTTTATTCTTTAAGGAAATGCGTGAAAATAGTTCATGTTCTTGTAACAGTCACGTAGAAATGAAACGGAATTTTATCTCCTACTTTTGTTTATGTCCGACTTTTCTGCAGCAAGCTGGTTAATGAAGTCGGACAAACGCTATGGAGTGTGGTGTGGGAAAACGTTTGTACACCTGCGAGATTACGTGACAGAAACATAAATAGAAGATTGTTCGATTTAGTAAAATGAGATATTCAGCGGTAAAGACTGATTTTCAGTGCGTTGCAATCAATACAGTTCATTTAGAATTTCCTACTACAATTATCAACTAGACGTAACAAGGTGGGTAGTAGGAAGAGCTGTGAGTCTTGCACTTCTTCCTAAGGTACAAATACATACATTGGGGAATCTACCTCTAATATGACTATGTATCAATTAACCGTGTCAATGAAGCCTATATCTTTCTGTGTCCTATACTTTTCTGGAATCACCACTGGATGTTATGACCCAGAAAAGTGCCTTGATGGATCTCAAAGTCGTCTTAATCGGTCGTTGGCACATACTCATCGAAATATATAACATTTTATAGACATTATTAAAATAATACCAGATAAGGCAACAGATAAAGCCAGGATGGCCCAGACCGACACTGGTGCAGTAGACTGACGATTCAAGTAAGATTGGAGACAAAAATGACTTTTTGAATTTTGGGATGTTGTGGGTCATTTAGTTCCATTCAGAAAGATTTGTGTTTTTTGTACTTTCATTTACGGTTAACCCAGTATCCAATTTAACTTTAGTCTCAAATATTGATGAAATGATAGAATCAGTAAATTATGAATGGTTAATTTAATATACTATTCAAAAAAAGTAGGGGATATTTGATTTTTAAGTGTTATTAAAGTCACCTAATGAAACTGACGAAGAAACAAATGACAAAATGAAATGAAGTTCACATTCATCGTTAGACTAAGTAAGGCACAGACTGACCATTATAAGGGTAAAATGATACCCGGGGTCAAACAGCAAAGTTACCACAGCATCACAACCAAGTCAGTAACGGGTAAATCCTCATCTGTTTGCCAAACAAGCATTGATCCGACGTGGCATACTCCTAATGAGACGTCTAAGGTCATTTTGGTCCAGATTGTCCCATTCCTGTTGCAACGCAGCAGCAAGTTCTTGGACATTCGCAGGACGTTGTTGACGTTGACGTAACCTCTGTCCAAGCATGTCCCAGACATGCTCGATGGGGGAGAGGTCGGGACTCAGTGCTGGCCAAGGTAATGTGGTGATGTTCTGTTGTTGGAGGTAACCTGTAACGATCCTGGCCCTGTGACATCTTGCGATGTCATCCTGGAAGATGAAACGGCGGCCATGACGTCGTGCGAACGGCACAACATGGACTGCCAAGATGTTGTCCCGGTAGTACTGTCCTGTAACACGCCCTGCAACAACATGTAAAGCCGTTCTTCCAGCAACAGTGATGCCTCCCCACACCATAACAGAACCACCCCCAAATCGATCATGTCTGATGACGTTAACGTCTTGGAAGCGCTCGTTTCGACGACGCCACACCCTCCTACGTCTGTCCAAAAAATCAACAGTGAACCTTGACTCATCTGAAAACATCACATTGCTCCAGCGTCGATTATCCCAGTGTTGACGATCCCTACACCAACGACGTCTTGCCTGAATGTGATGATCTCTCAAACAAGGGATCACGCGAGGACGTCGGGCGCGAAGGTGACCCCTATGCAGTCGATTCCGAATCGTCTGGCCACTCACTCTCACACCAGTGTCTGTTTGAAGACGAGCGCTGATCTGATTTGCTGTGATGACACGATTTCTCAAGGCCAAGGTACGGATAAATCGATCCTGGGCTTGAGTTGTCGCCCTTGGTCGACCTGAGCGTGGTCTGTCCTGTACAGATTGTGTATCACGGTATCTGGACCATAGCCTGCTTATGACAGACTGAGAAACATTCATCGTCCGCGCCACAACCGCCTGTGTTGTGCCGATCTGTAGCATGCCAAGGGCACGTAACCTTTCATTTTGGGTAAGCCGACGCATATCAAAATTTGTTTTCTGGTCACTAAAACAATTAAACTGATGTTTCCACCCTGGAATTCAATGCCACAATGACTGTAACATTCAAAGTCAGAGTCGTGCAAATCTTGGGTTGGACCCCCATGATGATCCCAAGCCCTGCATTCCATGCGGTAGCTATTGGTGCGTTTGGGCGTCACATGTAACTGGAAATGTTTCTTCTGTTAGGTTCTATAGTGACTTTTTTCGTAGTCATTTGCATATTTTAGTATTATGCCCCCAAAATCAAATATCCCCTACTTTTTTTGAATAGTATATAATAGTTCCCATTTTATTAATCACCTTGTTTAATATAATAATCAATTCATTATATCTGGCATTATATTCATGCACTTGAAAACAGCAGTGCACTGGAATTGCAGAACAAGGTCGAGGTGATAGTGAGCCGGGGCGGATGTAGGGGTTTAATGGTGGTGATCTTCAATTGATGTCTGGTGCAGTGGTGTGTGTCTTTGGCTGCTGGGCTGGTAGTGGGTAAAGTGGCTTGACTTGAGCTGATTGAAAGAGAGGTAGTGATAGACAGTTGTTGGTGGGATTTTAGGTTTGGTTGCTAATCGAGGTGTTGTTAGACGTTTAGTTAATGGGGTTTTTGGATTTGTAGTTTAGTAGATTTCATATTTGGAAATCTAATGAGTTAGGGTAATGGTAGTGGGGTTGGGCTTGTGGTCGGTGATTTGGTTGAATTTAAAAGTAATCTGGTATGTATGCAATAATATGTATAGTTCTAGGGATATCGGTGTCTTTGATGTT